CATTATATTGCCGTGATCACGATCATTCAACCGAAAAACGTGTATTTTTTGCAAATAAAGTTATATCACATTTCATATCACTTCACATGAATTTGGTGAATGCCGAGTGCCTTCCTTACAAAGTTTCCAATAGGGTACTTTGCATTTATTTACATTGACATCTTGCATCGGAAAAGTACTTTGCGATCGAGTCGGTCACAGGATCACGGACGAGTGACTCCAGTTAGATCGAGTCTCATCTGAAATTACACATTTAGCACATACATAACAATAGATCAAATCAGAATAAGCCAGCAACATGCGTGTCCATAATTAGTCAACACTCATTCCATCGCAATGTTCTATCGCAGGATCTACCGTATGCCAAGATCTCACAGACCATATTACATGCGTTACGTATGTACACGTATAATATCAATATTCCATATGCAGGGCACATAATACAATGTTTTGGATTGATTTTGATTTTTCACAAATGCAAAAGAAAATCCGATTGTGTTAAAATTTAACGTTTTGTTCTTTGGAATTGAGTGATTCCGGTGAAGGATCAAATAACGTAAAATTCGAGAATGCCTCGAACACGTCGGACGTACAACATTTTACCCCTTAAAACCAAATTTGATCTGGTAAATGAAGACGACGATTGGTGAGAGTTTGGAGAAAATGGGTAATACAAAATACAGCAATCTGGCAAGTTCTTTATTACGTGACATCATCTTGAACTTCGGAGTTGTCCCGAGAATTGACCTTAATTCCTCCATGCAGTGACTTAACCAAATGCGTCGAATAAAGCTCAAACAAATACATTTTGAATAACGGTGATTCACCCATACGGCAGTTACTCACGTTTAGACCCCCAAACCACGAAGTATAATAGTTTGTCGACTATTTACGTGCTTGCCAGATTTGTGGAACCTTTCCACGAAACCTTTCTTCGTACAAAATTTTTTGTTTACGTTCTTTGGTAATAATTTCAAAGACATTTGATAAGTATGTAGAATGACATAATGTTATTAATTAGTCGGGGCCAAAAATAGAAGTGTACACAGAAGTTTGATAAAAAGCCACATAGTAGCATAAACAAAAATTATAAACGAAAGAGGAAGGACTTGCGAATATACTGTGCAAGTGTTTACTTTTACAATACTTGATCCCGCGGAAACAATCGGTCGGAAATTTTATTTAAAAAAGATTCGTGCGAAGTCCTGAGTATAGATATGTCACACCACCAAAAAAATGATGGATCAGCGACCTATTCAAAGGTTGCTTATACAATTATTTAAGAGGTTAAGAGTTGGTCAGCTGGTCGACTAGTCGGCTGGCTCCGTTATACCAAATGGACGAACCCCTGTAATGTATGTAAACATTGTCCGAAAAGAAATTTCTTAAACAAAGACGCACCCAGACTCAAAAATTCTGGCGCGCGTTCGTCAGAAGTGAATTAATTCACTCACTCATGCACCTAAAAATACTTTTTTAAATCAAGTGATGATAATAAGAGCCCCTTTGATTTCTCAAAACGGCAGGGGAGTAACATTTGTACGATACTTAAAAATTGACGTTAAAGCTTGAATCGTTTACGTACAGTGCAGTACAGTATATAATATTCTATACACTGTGAATAATAATATACGAAAATTTGTTTGTCACGCCAAGAAACTCATCACATCAACGTTGAACAGACCGTCAAACCGGAGCATGACCTCTTTGGTTGTTGATTCGTTCGTTCGTTCGTTCATTATGAGTCATGATTTACACATGGTATGCATACAATTTTCCGAACAAGATCACTTTGATGAGGATGAAGATCGTGATGATGAATTCCATTACGTGGTGGACTCATGGATAAAGGACATCATCATTATGCTTATCTCCCACGTTGCACCTCCACATCAACAAGGACACGACGACATTTTTCCTTCTTCTTTGTCATTGGTTTCGCCAATTTCCTTTCTCCTTTTCCTTTTTTTCTTTCTGTATATTATCTAAGCATTCGCATTCTTTGTTATCCATTCGAATGATCACGTGCGAGACATGGACACACCGGTGTTTGTGTAATTAAGTAAATAAACTGATTGAGACAATAGCAAACCAGTTCTCTTTTCTTTCGTTTCTTTATCACAAGAACGACGAGTGAATGAAATTCCATGGATGATGACATGTCCTTTGACTCTTCGGTTACTACGTGGCCTTCCTTCGATCATTTACATCAATCAATCAATCAATCAATTAAATCAATTAACAAATCGACTGATTATGCGTATAAAATGATAACCGATTGCGTGTAGAATCATGAACTTTGATTCAATTACTGCTGATAACGGCAATGCATTGATTTGATAACTGATAAAGCAAGCAAACACCCTGCCAAAGAAAGGTATCGAGTCATTCTGCCTGCTTATTAATTCTTCCCACGTCAATAGAATTACAAAGCAGGAATGCTTTCGGAACAATCAATAACTTGCTTTGATGAGTCATACAAATATTTTGTAAGAAATCGCACATACATTCAATTATCACCAGAACAACAGATGCCCCCTGACATATTTCCGACGGTAAAATAAAAAAAAAAAAAAAAACATATTGTATATTGATGATATCTCAAAAATCGGTTATCCGGATCATAAATAAAAAATTTCGAATAGCTGTAAATGCGGAAATCTTCATTTGTGTTTTTCGTTGTGGAATGGTAATCTCTTCAAATCTTATCAGCTGCATTATCTGTTTTATCTGTAATTCAACCTGCTACTACGGAATAATGGTATATAATAAGTCAAGGAAACGAGCGTAGTAGTTGGTGGTGATCAGAGATAACGTATGCAATTTACCAATTTGTTCCCGTAATACAACCACCAAAATTCGCTACAGTGACAATTAGGAATTATTTCTCCGAACGAATAACTTTTGACTTCTTCGAAAGATATTCCATAATTTTTACCTCCTGTATATGCTGGTTCACCTGAAAATCATTGCACAAGAATGTATAATTAATTGCATGCTGCGTCATATTGAAAATCCTAATTTTGTGACTCAATGCGCAGTCAATGTTGTGTCTTATTTCGGAAACCTGTGAACATCTACAGCATATCATTGTGCAAATCATTTTCTTTATTGCGTCACAAACAGACTTCCAATTTCCACCCGACCGTTGTTCCTGAAGCAATGTGATAGACTGGTGATTTATGCCTGAGTTTGTGTGGCTTGACGGGATGCCTCATTGATGTGACGAAAAGACGACTCAATTTGGTAATCTGAAAAATGGTTAGAAATAAACTTATCCAAAACTCGATGAGGGATCACATGGTCGATTATGCAAATTTGTGTATAAATATTTCGCATCCACGGACTCCGCGCGGAAACTTTGCACGAGAGTTGAACCTTTTTTTCACTCTCCCATTTTAGGAAATCAATTTTTACCTTTGATGAAATAGGCAAGTTTACAAGATGATCAAATTTAATTCCTTGAGACAGTCAAAACAATTTGATGACATAATGCGTTGTTTCTTTCGGTCAATCTTTGGATTCAATTAATAAATAAATTATGCGTGTTTTATTGTTATATTAAAAGAATGTGTCGCGGTCAGACAAACGTGAAAACAAATTTATTAAAAACATTCGATGTTCCATTTCCATTGGTTAAAATTATTCGATTGTTGTTTTCATTATACGCATACATAGGAGCAAAGATAACATCTCATTAATCCGTAATAGAGGATTTGGAAATTCTGATGATTAAAACAAAACAAAGAATACCGAGAAATCTTAATATTTATTTACTCTTTCTGTCGGTCATACTTCTAAAAATAAATTTTGTGGTCGAGGAAAAACGAATGATTATTACATGAAACCATCGACCCTTTGTCGTTGTGACTAAAAATAGTTCCAGGATTCCCAATTCACAACTAACAAATTTTGGTTGGCTTCAAAAAAAAAAACTCTAATTAAACTGCGCGCGTTATCATCAATTGGGCTTATCATTGCTGAACTAGGAGTGTTTCAAACTGAAATTTTTTGTTTATAATTTTCAAGGAATTGGATGCACAACGTTACAAAGATGCTTTGGGTTTAACGATATTAATCCGAAAATGCTTTTTCTCAATCAAAGTACAAACTGTTACCCATTTTAATTATCAAATCATGACTATCTATTTACTGTACGTATGCCCGAACGATTCCTGTTTCCCTCTACCTAAATGCGTGTATCGATAATAATATTTACATATTCTTTTTTTAATACTGTATAATGAGCTATAATACTGTAAGTGATAAAAAGATATCTCATAAAAATCAATTAATTATATATGATTTAGGGAAAAACTATAGATGAACACAAAAATCATCTTGGGTTTCAAGATTGAAAACGCTTTCTCTGCATCGTTCTTTTCAATTTTACAATGCTACTGGCTGGTTCCATGTCATCGAGAATATCGGGTACTTGATATCTTGCACTGGTAATGCAAAAAGTGTCCAAACAAGTATTTTCGCAAATTATTAAATCCACTAAAAAGTGTTGATAAAATGGTATAGAACAAAGAATACATGATAATTCTTGCTATTGTACTATATTTAAATCAATTATAATAAACCCATACTGTAACTAAACAGTTTACTGGTTATAATACTTCTATGAATAAGTTTAATGGATTTGTAACTAAGTCTTAAATTCTTAATATCAAGACTATGATATTATTCATATGATCTAATTATTTATTATTTATTTTACTACAAAAGAATAGGTTTATTAAACTATCATTACATAGTATTAAATATCTTAAACTTTTTAAATTTTTTCAAATTTCTGAAAATGTTGTTTCTTTTTTTAAAAAAAAATATTATAATCTAAATTAAAAAATCAACATTGATCTATATTTAAGACTATTATTTCAATATAACTTTGTAGTTTTAAATTTTAAAAAAAATTTGTTTTTGAAAAAATAATATAAAAATAATGTTTATATTAATAAATAAAATTACTTTTAATTAATTTTTTAATTTAATTACTTGCAACTAAAAAAAATTTTTTTAATTTTTATTGTTTTGTTATTAATCAAAAATATTTAAATATATTTATAATAAAACTTATTGCTCTTATGATCTCTATACAATAGCTTTATACTTTGTTATTATATAATTTTGTTATTTATATTTTATAATTTTTTTCATATAATATTTTTTAATTAAACATGTTTTTTAATTATTATTGAAAAAAAAAATTAAATCAACTTACAGTATATCATAAAATTTTTTAAAATTATTTATTTATTTTCTATTCAAAAACTATTATATTAAAATAGTAAAATAGATATTAAAATAAAACTTAAATTCTAAAGATTTGTTAATATATAACTAATGATTAATATTAATATTATTTTTATTTTTTAAATTATTAATTTATATATTTTTTGATTTTATTTGAAAATTTATTTGATTTTTTTTATTTTAAATTATTTAAATTATAAAAAATTTTAAAATAATCTTATTTCTATATTTATTTTAATAAGAAATCAAAAATTTTTTAAAAAAATTTTTATTGATTATATGATATTTAATATTAAAAAATAATTTAATCAAAATATTATTTATAATAAATAAATAAATAAAAACTTTATTAAATTAAAGTTCAATTAAATAACTTTGATATTTTTTATATAAATAATTTTTCTATATAAATAAATAAAGATCTATAAATTAATAATATAATAATTGATATTTTAAAATTTAAATTATAAAATATTAATTTAACTTTAAATAATAATAATTAAATAAAATTAAAAATAATATTTGATATTATAATTTATAAAAAGATCTATAAGTCTATAATATAGTGATTAATATTTTATAAATTAAATTACAAGATATTAGTTTAATTTTAAATAAAAATAATTAAGCTGATCTAAAAATAATATTTAATGTTATAATTTGTTAAGTATTGTTTTTTATAGAAAATCAATTCATATATTAATTTAGAAATATTGAAATTATAATTTTTATAAAAAATATAGTAATGTGTTAATCATCAAATTAATGTTATAATAGTTGTCTAATAAAAAGATCAAAAAAATTTATCTATATATTTAAATATATAAACTGAACTATACTTTATTTTAATTAATTCTTAATACAGTCAAACCTCTTTATACTGATATTTTTTATATCAATACCTATTAAAATCTTACTATACCAATATTTTTCTCAAAACCATTCTTAATTAAAGTCATTTTTTTATACCAATATATTTTCTTTATACTGATATTCTAAAA